TTGTAGCTTCCTAGGAAAGAGCCGAACAAAGTTTGAGAATGAAAATGACCTTGACCTTCTTTTAAGGTCACATGAGGCAGATATGTCAAACACTTTAAACGACTTCTTCTGAAGAACTGGTAGTTATAAAATCTTAATATTTGGCAGGTGGCTTCCTGGGAAAGAGCCAAACAAAGTTTGCGAATGAAAATGACCTTGACCTACTTTCAAGGTCACAGCGTTCAAATATGTCAAACAGTTCAAACAGCTTCTTCTGAAGAATTAAAAGGCATAAAATTATAATATTTGGCTGGTGACTTCCCGGGATAGAGCTCACCAAAGTTTGCAAATGAAAATGACCTCAACCTACTTTAGAGGTCACAGAGGTCAACAACATTTTAATGGATTTGTTCTTGAGAACTAAAAGGAATGGATTCATAAGATTTGGCTGGTAGCTTTTTGGAATAGAGCTAACCAATTTGAGAAGGAAAATGACATTGACCTACTTACAAGATCACAGGGAAAAATATGTCAAGCAACTTCTGAAGAAGAATCTAAAAGCATAGAATCTTATAATAATATTTTGCTGGTAGTTTCAACAGATGGAGCCAACAAAGTTTGCGAGGCAAATATTTTTAGTGCAATATAATATTTAATGAGAATATTTTGCTATGACTGCTTAAATATTCAGGTGAGCGATACAGGCCCTCTTGGGCCTCTTCTTTTAATAGACACATTTTTATTGTGGTTGAAAAAACTGCCAGGAAAAGTACCTGTTATTCAGTATATATTACTGTTGTCTTCAATACCGCATGTCTTTGTTTTGTTTTATAGCCAACCTCCTGCGGCTGATGAACGCCATTGCCCACAGTACAACGATAAGTCCACGGACTAGCTTCATCGTGGCGTTCATAGAGGAAAGCATAAAGTGTGGGGGACAGTACTCACAATTCATCCACCAATTTATACCCCCTCAGATGGTGAGTTGAATCGGGTTGTCATTGAAACCCTTGGAATATGAGATGTGTTAGGTTTTCTCACATTGATGCCCCACAGATGTTAAATTTTGAAGGGTTGCCTGTCATTCGGAATAAGATTAATCTGTTTGGTATGAATAATACAAGCTAAGTTTGTTTTGAACACAAACAGGAATTGAAAACTTATTTTGCGAGCTTCCAAAAACGTCTGTTTCCTTTGTCAAACAAAAAGTGTAAACGACCAGTTACCCATCCCCCTGACTGCCTGCAGTATTAAGAGTGCCATTGGGCGAAATGTCCCTACGATTTTTGACAGCTGACTTTACTCACAACTCACTAAGCCTCAGCAACTCACTAAGCCCTGAGGCTTAGTGAGTTGTTTTCAGTGGTTTCGAGTTGAGACGAGGGGCATTTACACTCTTTGCTTGACTAATATAAGGAAACAGACGTTTTTCGAAAGCAAAATCATTTTTCAATTTCTGTTTGTATTCAAAACAAACTTGGCCTTCATTGTCTGCCGTTGATTTCCCTCAGATGATGGGTTGTGCTGTAAAGTTAACCTATATATATAATGATAACATAGTCAGTTCAAAGTTGATAAACGGTAGGCTACTTTATTGATAACTGGGTTTTAATAAGAACAATAATTATGAAGGGCAAAGAGACAAAATAGAAGTGCAGCACAGTTTTCTCCATATACAGTATATACCTCTTATCCTTAAAAAATGAAACACCTGGAGGTAAAATAAATGAAAGATTGATATTATGACTTTTTTTTTTTTACCAGCTGTCTCAGATCATGAAGAGCATACCGGGCGTGTTCTCGAACCAGCAGATTGTCCACATTTGCAATCTAGCCGTTCCCACTGGCCGCAAGGTAGCTGCAAAATGTGTCTGTCAAAACTCTAAAATTCGACCAGAATGAGGCTGCAAACTCGGGCTGAAGTGATTTTAACTCTCATCAGAGCGAGGCTACAAACTCTAACCAAAATGAGGCTACAAATTTGAAGGCTGCAAACCTTCAATATTCCGTGCTTAATATTGAGCAAAACACAACTCCAATAAATTGTGGCTATAAACTCAAGTCAAAGTGAAATTACAAAATTGGACCAGAGTGAGGCTACAAACTTAAGCCAGAGTGAGGCTACAAACTCTGACCAGAATGAGGCTTCAAACTTTTGCCAGAGCCATTCTACTCAATCAAGTGAGAATGAGGCTATATACAGTCGCTCAAAGTGAGGCTGAAAGCTTGAGCAGGGCCCTGTTGTTGCCTTATAGATTAATTGGTAATTGGTGATAAGCGTGTTCTTATCTAGTGTTGTTCATCAGTAATGCCAGCAAATGCTATTTTGATGTCCTTCGATAAGTCCATCCCCCTGCTTTGAGTCCTAGATCATGAATTGAACTTCTTGGCCTGTTGCAGGATGAATGCAATAGTTTGAGATCCATTCAAAAACTTTCAGATTAATGTCATTCACATATAGTATTGGATCATCTGAACTTGACAAACAAGATTTGCCTAGCTCTGTCGCAGTTTAACAAACACCAAATCCTTCCAAATGTTCATGCAAAAAGGGATTAATTGAAGATGGACCATGCGTTTCTGATTGCATATGAATAACAATGTAATTCTTGCTTAATATGGAGCAATTGTTAAAATGAGTAACTGATGGAATGATAAAAGTATGCTGTGAGTAGGTTTTGGATGATCGAATGTCATTGTAAATTTGTCATATTTGAAAGTGCTATTTAATTCGTGCAATTTCCTGCGATGCATCAGATGTGAATTAAAGATAAGTTTGGGTATTTTTTTTGACACAATTACATAAAATAGAAGAAGAAAAACAAAATCTGCTGAAGAGTTTTTATTTAGTATCTTTGATGTTCGTCCTAAAACTTTGTTCTTGTTGGCAAATACACTTTTTACTTGATGATTGCAGTACATCTGGATCAACGTTGCAATTTATTTTTATGGTAGGAAAGTGTGGCAGAAAAGCAATGAATCATTCTTGTGTGATTGACACGAATCTCAACTCTAGGGATAAGATTTCTGAAGTTAACCCTTTCACCACTGTAGACCATAATGGACTTACCCAGATACATGTATGGTAGAGTCTACTAATGTTACCTAGGGGTAAAAGGGTTAAGCACTGGATAATACTAAACATGAAATCTTAACACTCGGGATCAGATTGCAACGTCTACATTACACAAGAGATTTAAATTCTCTTCAATGTATTTGGTGAAACAGGAGAATCATTATATGTAAACCAGTACTTGTGCAAGAGTGAATGTGTTTTTCATTATCATGAATTTCTTTACAATTCCAATGTGGGTACAAATTAAAGTTATACATATATAATGGCAAGACTGGGTTGGTGATCTGCGGTGTCTCAGTATTATATGTTAACCCTCTTTGTATATATTATTGACTCGTAAATCAATAAAATATTGATTAAATTATAAATGTCGAAGTTTGGTTTCTTATTTTACACATGTGATATATATTATCAATAATCTGTCCAGGTTATCTCGGGTCAAGTGTGAAGATTCGTAACTCAACCTTGCAAGACAAGGCTTGAATATTGCAGAATCTTAGCCTGAAACTAAGATATTGGAGAGTGGCTTGATTGCTTAGGAAACTGGTTATTATTATATTTGAATGGAAAAACCTTGATCTATATTTATAGACATGGGGATCATGTATGTTTTAAATGACAAAATCATGAACTCTAGTGTCATGGTATGTTTTCTGCTACTTCCAGGGAATAGGTGTTTCAATTTTGTTAAAATGAGTAAAGTTACGGAAAAACGCTGAATTTCATTGAGTTAAGGTTTTGGATCTGTGGTTAAAGAGTATCAAGTTTGTTAGAACAAATGACCTTTACCTTTTTCCAAGATAACGGCAATAGAAGAAAATGATTTGCATAGAATATTATGAGTTGAGATCGATGTAGCTAGCCAGAGTGAAGGTCTACCATTAAAATATTAAAATATAATAAAAGTGGGCTATCATGCCCCAGAGATCATAGTTACTATATATATAGTAGATATTGCAAGGGAATTTCATTCAGATATACTCCCGAGCCAGGTGCTGATCACGTGTACACTAGCGAAATTCTTCAAAGCTCGGTCAACGACACAGATGTAGGTTAAAGAGGGACAAAATTGTTGTCTCCGTAACAAGTTACGTTAAGGATGCCTGTACCACTGTCTAAAATTGCAATTATGAATTGAAAACCAGCACGATAAATCTTTTGTAAGTCATGTCTGAAAAGAAACCCTGAAAACTGAGTAATCTGTGCTCCTTCCTTCCTACATGTTAAACGTACGTAAATCATTTCGTATCTATTTAGCACTAACAACATAAACCAAACACATTTTAAACAGTTTAATAGCATGAGAAATACGTGTACATCAGTGTTTGTATGAGAAATACGTGTAAACCGGTGTTTGTATGAGAAATACGTGTACAACAGTGTTTGTATGAGAAATACGTGTACATCAGTGTTTGTATGAGAAATACGTGAATAGCAGTGTTTCTATGTGAAATAGGTGCATTGCAATTCAGGGATGCATTTCAAAGTCCAATCAATCAGTCCAATACACAATTCTGAATGTCACACTGAAATAACCTTCCTGTCACTGGAATACTTGGGTCTGGCCCACCAGGGGCCTGAGGGGCGGGGCCAAATAGGGGAAATATAGAAAATTCTTCTTTAAAATCCTTCTTCTTCTGTAGAAATGAAAGGATTTGTTTCATATTTGGTCAGAAGCATCCTTGGGGGAAGGGAAACAAAGTTTGTATAAATGGTGGGTCTGGCCCCCCCTGGGGGCTGAGGGGTGGGGCCCAATAGGGGAAATATAGCAAATTCTTTAAAATCCTTCTTCTTCTGTAGGAATGAAAGGATTTGTTCCATATTTGGTCGGAAGCATCCTTGGGTGAAGGGGATCCAATTTTGTATAAATCAAGGGTCTGGCCCCCCAGGGGCCTGAGGGGCTGGGCCCAATAGGGGAAACATAGCAAATTATTCTTTAAAATCCTTCTTCTTCTGTAGGAATGAAAGGATTTGGTCCATATTTGGTGGGGAGCATCCTTTGGTAGTAGGGAACAAATTTTGTATAAACCATGGGTCTGGCTCCCAAGGGGCCTGAGGGGCTGGGCCCAATAGGGGAAATATAGCAAATTATTCTTTAAAATCCTTCTTCTTCTGTAGGAATGAAAGGATTTGGTCCATATTTGGTGTGGAGCATCCTTGGGTTAAGGGGAACCAATTTTGTATAAACCATGGGACTGGCTCCCCAGGGGCCTGATTGGTGGAGCCCAGTAAGGGAAACATAGCAAATTATTCTTCAAAATCCCTTCTGTAGGAACGAAATTTGGTCAGAAGCATCTTTGTTGGAAGGGGAACCAATTTTGCGTAAATGGTGGGTGTGGCCCACCTGGGGGCTGAGAGGCGGGGCCCAATAGGGGAAACATAGCAAATTATTCTTTAAAATCCTTCTTCTTCTGTAGGAATGAAAGGATTTGGTCCATATTTGGTCTGAAGCCTTATTGGGTGAAGGGGAACTAATTTTGTATAAATGGTGGGTGTGGCCCACCTGGGGGCTGAGGGGCGGGGCCCGATAGGGGAAACATAGAAAATTCTTTAAAATCCTTCTCATTCTGTAGGAATGAAAGGATTTGTTCCATATTTGGTCTGAAGCATCCGTGGGTGAAGGGGATCCAATTTTGTATAAATCAATGGTCTAGCCCCCCAGGGGCCTGAGGGGCGGGGCCCAATAGGGGAAACATAGCAAATTATTCTTTAAAATCCTTCTTATTCTGTAGGAATGAAAGGATTTGGTCCATATTTGGTGTGGAGCATCCTTGGGTTAAGGGGAACCAATTTTGTATAAACCATGGGTTTGGCTCCCCAGGGGCCTGATTGGGGGAGCCCAGTAAGGGAAACATATCAAATTATTCTTTAAAATCCTTCTTTTGTAGGAATGAAATTTGGTTAGAAGCATCTTTGGTGGAAGGGGAACAAATTTTGTATAAACGGTGGGTGTGGCCCCCTTTGGGGCTGAGGGGCGGGGCCAAATAGGGGAAATATAGCAAATTCTTTAAAATCCTTGTTCCTCTGTAGGAATGAAAGGATTTGGTCAATATTTGGTCTGAAGCATTATTGGGTGAAGGGAAACCAATTTTGTATAAACGGTGGGTGTGGCCCCCCTGAGGGCTGAGGGGTGGGGCCCAATAGGGAAAATATAGCAAATTCTTTGAAATCCTTGTTCTTCTGTAGGAATGAAAGGATTTGTTCCAAATTTGGTCTGAAGTATCCTTGGGTGAAGGGGATCCAATTTTGTATAAATCAATGGTCTGGCCCCCCAGGGGCCTGGGCGGCAGGGCCCAATAGGGGAAACATAGCAAATTATTCTTTAAAATCCTTCTTATTCTGTCAGAATGAAAGGATTTGGTCCATATTTGTTGTGGAGCATCCTTGGGTTAAGGGGAACCAATTTTGTTATAAACCATGGGTCTGGCTCCCCAGGGGCCTGATTGGCGGAGCCCAGTAAGGTAAACATAGCAAATTATTCTTTAAAATCCTTCTTCTGTAGGAATGAAATTTGGTCAGAAGCATCTTTGGTGGAAGGGGAACAAATTTTGTATAAATGCTGGGTGTGGCTCCCCTGGGGGCTGAGGGGCGTGGCCAAATAGGGAAAATATAGCAAATTCTTTAAAATCCTTCTTCTTCTGTAGGAATGAAAGGATTTGTTCCATATTTGGTCTGAAGCATCCTTGGGGGAAGTGGAACAAACTTTGTATTAATGGTGGGTCTGGCCCCCCTGACGGCTGAGGGTCGGGGCCCAATAGGGAAAAATAGCAAATTCTTTAAAATCCTCGTCTTCTGTAGGAATCAAAGGATTTGTTCCATATTAAGTCTGAATCATCCTTGGGTGAAGGGGAACCAATTTTGTATAAACCGTGGGTCTGCCCCCTCAGAGGCCTGGGGGGCGGGTCCGTAGGAATGAAAGGATTTGGTCCATATTTGGTCTGAAGCGTTATTGGGTGAAGAGGAACCAATTTTGTATAAATGGTGGGTGTGGCCCACCTGGGGGCTGAGGGGCGGGGCCCAATAGGGGAAACATAGCAAATTCTTTAAAATCCTTCTCATTCTGTAGGAATGAAAGGATTTGGTCCATGTTTGGTCTGAAGCATTATTGGGTGAAGGGAAACCAATTTTGTATAAACGGTGGGTGTGGCCCCCTTTGGGGCTGAGGGGCAGGGTCAAATAGGGAAATATAGCAAATTCTTTGAAATCCTTGTTCTTCTGTAGTAATGAAAGGATTTGTTCCATATTTGGTCTGAAGCATCCTTGGGTGAAGGGGATCCAATTTTGTATAAATCAATGGTCTAGCCCCCCAGGGGCCTGAGGGGCAGGGCCCAATAGGGGAAACATAGCAAATTATTCTTTAAAATCCTTCTTATTCTGTAGGAATGAAAGGATTTGGTCCATATTTTGTGTGGAGCATCCTTGGGTTAAGGGGAACCAATTTTGTATAAACCATGGGTCTGGCTCCCCAGGGGCCTGATTGGCGGAGCCCAGTAAGGGAAACATAGCAAATGGAATGAAATTTGGTTAGAAGCATCTTTGGTGGAAGGGGAACAAATTTTGTATAAACGGTGGGTGTGGCCCCCTTTGGGGCTGAGGGGCGGGGCCAAATAGGGAAATATAGAAAATTCTTTAAAATCCTTCTCATTCTGTAGGAATGAAAGGATTTGGTCCATATTTGGTCTGAAGCATTATTGGGTGAAGGGGAACCAATTTTGTATAAACGGTGGGTGTGGCCCCCTTTGGGGCTGAGGGGCAGGGCCAAATAGGGAAATATAGCAAATTCTTTAAAATCCTTGTTCTTCTGTAGGAATGAAAGGATTTGTTCCATATTTGGTCTGAAGCATCCTTGGGTGAAGGGGAATTAATTTTGTATAAATCAATAGTCTGGCCCCCAAAGGGGCCTGAGGGGCGGGGCCCAATAGGGGAAACATAGCAAATTATTCTTTAAAATCCTTCTTATTCTGTCAGAATGAAAGGATTTGGTCCATATTTGGTGTGGAGTATCCTTGGTCAGAGGGGAACAAATTTTGTATAAACCATGGGTCTGGCTCCCCAGGGGCCTGATTGGCGGAGCCCAGTAAGGGAAACATAGCAAATGGAATGAAATTTGGTTAGAAGCATCTTTGGTGGAAGGGGAACAAATTTTGTATAAACGGTGGGTGTGGCCCCCTTTGGGGCTGAGGGGCGGGGCCAAATAGGGAAATATAGAAAATTCTTTAAAATCCTTCTCATTCTGTAGGAATGAAAGGATTTGGTCCATATTTGGTCTGAAGCATTATTGGGTGAAGGGGAATTAATTTTGTAAAAATGGTGGGTGTGGCCCACCTGGGGGCTGAGGGGCGGGGCCCAATAGGAGAAACATAGAAAA